CCCAATGTCATTCAAGCAGTAGGCAGTGGAATTAGAATTCCAAACTAGGCCTCCCTGTCTCCCTCTCTGCCACGCCCACTGCCTTTCAGTTAACCACCAAAATGATGAAGAGCAGTGAAGCTTCAATTAAAGAGAAGTGAAGCTTCTGAATCTCTAAGATTCTTTTTTTTTTTTAATTTTTTTTTTGTCAACGTTTATTTATTTTTGGGACAGAGAGAGACAGAGCATGACAGGGGAGGGCAGAGAGAGGAGAGGAGACACAGTAATGGGAAACAGCTCCAGGCTCTGAGCCATCAGCCCAGAGCCTGGCGACGCTGGGCTCCGAACTGGCCTTGAATCGTGACCTGGCTGAAGTCGGACGCTTAACCGACTGCGCCACCCAGGCACCCCATCTAAGATTCTTAATGCCAGGAGAGACACTTCAAGTTCTGCTTTCCCCATCCCTGTATTTCATTAGGGAGGGCATTTGGATTATTTAAGTGTTTAAGCTTTCAAATAAGACTTTATGAATTCTCAACTACAATTACTTAGAACTAGAGCCATTCCCAATTAATTTGAGCCTTCCTTTTATGTTCTGTGGTCATGAAGGGGAGTTACTGCTATTACTCCCCAACACCATCTTCACCAGCACTGTCATCTTGGCTATGACCACTCTCACCACTCCTATTCAGCACTCTCCTGGAGGTTCTAGCCAGGACGATCTGGCAAGAAAATGAAATTAAAGAAATTCAGATTGGAAAGGAAGAAGTAAATCAATCTCTATTTACAGATGGCATGATGTTTTACATAGAAAATCCTAAGTAACTACCAAAAAAATATTAGAACTGGTTAGTTCAGCGGTGCCTGGGTGGCCCAGTCAGTTAAGTGTCCAACTTCAGCTCAGGTCATGCATGATCTTGTGGTTCCTGAGTTCGAGCCCCGTGTGGGCTCTGTGCTGACAGCTCAGAGCCTGGAGCCTGCTTCGGATTCTGTGTCTCCCTCTCTCTCTACCCCTCTCCTGTTTGCGTGGGCTCTCGCTCTCTCTCACTCTCTCTCTCTCTCTCTCTCAAAATTAAATAAACATTAAAACATTTTAAAAAAGAACTAGTGAGTTCAACAAGGTTGCAGGATTCATGATCAGTGTACAAAAATCAACTGTATTTATGCACCTGTAATGAACAATCCAAAAATGAAAGAAAACAATTTCATTTACAATAGCATAAAAATAATAAAACGTGGAATAAATTTAACAAAAGTGCAAAACTTATACCCTGAAAATTATGAAACATTGTTGAAAGAAATTAAAGACTGAAGTAGAAAGATGCCCCATGTTTATGCATCAGGAGATTTAACATTAAAATGACAATATTCCTAAAACTGATACATAGGTTCAACACAATCCCTATCAGATTCCTAGCTAGCTCTGTAGAAATTGACAAATTGATCCTAAAATCCATATGGAAACCCAAGGAACTCACTATAGCCAAAACAATGTTGAAAAAGAACAAAGTAGATGAACTCACATTTCCTAATTTCATAGCATACTACAAAGCAACAGTAATCAAGTGTGGTACTGGCATAAAGGTAGGTATGTAGATTAATGGAATAAAATTGACAATCCAGAAATGACCCGTTATATATAGTCAATCAAATTTAAGCAAGAGTGCTAAAACAACTCAATGGGAAAGAATCATCTTCCAACAAATGCTGCTGGGATAATTGGATATCCATATACAAAGGAATAAATTTGGACTCCCTACTGCCCACAATATACACAAATAAACTCAAAATGGATCAAATACCTAAATTTAGAGCTAAAACTGTAATACTCTTCATGGAGAAAGACATACTTGCAAAGAAACAAATAGAGGTCTATGAGTGGACAAGAACTTCGGGTAATATCGGAGAAAAAGACGCAAGAATCATAGAGAAGGGCACTGAGACTCAAAACTTTGTAATACAGCTTAAAGCCTTGTAGCTGCTGTTCCATGTTTGTCATTTTCATAACTGCTGTCTTCTTTAAGCAGCAAATTTTCAAAACCAAAATGATCTGGAAAATATAGTGAATTCAGAGAGCAGATTCTGGGAAAGACCACTTGTATTTGAATCCTAGTTTTACCATTTTCTGGCCAAGAAAATGTCTTCTGTGGCAGAAGTTAAATGTCTTCTGTGTCCCAGTTTCTCCATCTATAATTGTACTCTCCAATTCAGTGACAACTAGCCACATGCGGCTATTAAGCATTTGAAATGTGGCTAATCCAAACTGAGATGTGGTGTGCAGTGTATGCTAATTATATACCACGTTTCAAAGATCTAATCCTCCTCCCCCAAAACATCTCATTAATATTTTTTATATTTCTTACATGTTGATATAATACTTTGCATATATTGGGTTAAAATATATTATTAAAATTCATTTCACTCGTTTCTGTTTATTTTTTTTTAAGTCACTACTAGAAATTTAAAATTGTTTATGTGGTTTACATTATGTTTCTTTTTTTAAATTTTATTTTAGGTGGGAGGAGAGGGATAGAGGGGGAGAGAGATAAAGAGGGGGGGAATCTTAAGCAGGCTCCACACTCAGTGTGGCGCTCGCCATGGGACTGGATCCCACCATCCCGGGATCATGACCTGAGCCGAAAGCAAGAGTCGGATGCTCAACCAACTGAGCCACCCAGGCGCTCCCACATTCTGTTTCTATTGGACAGTGCTGATCTGTAATACGGAAATAATAATGCTCCCTATTAAATATAGCTATTGTGACAATTAAATAATTTAACCTATATACAATGCTTACAATACCTGCTACATAACAAGCACTGAAGAAGTGTTAGCTTTAAAATTATTTTTCACGATGGTCAGGTTCAGAGAGGCAGGGAGCAACCTGTCGAGGGCAATACTCTAATGAGATACGGGAATGGCAGCACTTCACGGAAGCAAAGCCGTCAGCTTAAATCTCTAAGGTATACAGGAAGAAGCTACGGCACCTTCCCAGGAAGCCATCTTTGCAGGGGACAGAGCTACGGACACTGGTGTTTGAAGCAGTGAAGTCAGAGACTACAAGTGAGGCTTATGGTTACATTTCTGGCTCCAATACATCATTCTAAAATGTGGACTATCACTCCATCCCTCTTAAATTTCTACCTTTTCATCCAGACAGGAGGTAGTGTTTGTTGTATGCTTCAGGTTTCTTGTTTCTTTGGAGCAAGTTAGAGTTGCTAAGTACTATCCATTCTCCAAATGGGCAGCAGCGTTTGACTCGGCCCGGCAAACAAGCAGTTGGGAAGTCCTATAACTCTAATGTCCAGAACACCACAGTCATCACTCTTGAGTAAATTATTGTTTTACATTTTACAGAAGCAATTGTAGTTCATTAAGCATCACATGGCTGAGGTTCCTTCCTGAGATGTCCGTGACATCTTTCTCTAACTTAGTGCTCTAGATCAATTTGCTTTTGCTGTAGCATGAGTATCTTTACAGAGTACTCCTTCCAAGACCAATGCCACCACCAGTGATACACTGCCCCCCCTCCAGGTTTTGATTCCTGTTTCTCTTCTCAGTAACATAACAATGAAAGTGCTGGCCCTGAGCCTTATGAAAACTGCAATTAGAGCTTGTTTTCAACAGGTTCTGACTGTGGCTTTTCTCAGTGGCTCATTTTCCAAAGGGCTCTGACCTCCTATTGGAGAATCTGGCCTGCTCTATAGAGTGGCAGAAGCTTAGTTGCATATGTGTCTGTGCTCAGAAAGTGGCAGAAACAGAGAAATATGGTGTCCAAAGTAATGGAAGACAAAAGCAGTTCAATAGGATTTCCATATGTTTATTTCATCACACGTCATTTAAAATTTACAACCAGTGATGGGCTAGCTAAATGTCCATTGTGTGTGTGTGTCTGTGTGTGTGTGTGTGTGTGTGTGTGTGTGTGTGTAATGGGCAAATGAGCACTATTATCTGTTTTGAGTTTATCACTATCAACACATATATCTGTTTTTATTAACAGATATTTAAAGATGTTTAACATGGCTCTTTCAATTTGTACAGATAAAGACAATATTTTCTTGATCTCATATTTTAGAAGTCCAAATCCATCAGTTTCTAAAAGTAGTGTTAAAGTCTTTTGGCCATTCTGGTTTTTGTACAGATTGTATTCAAACAGACTAGAACTTTCACCACAAAACAGTTGAACGAAAGGTAAAATAATGACTAGATTAAGATGTCCCTTATAAAGGACACTGTACCACATGACAGTCTCAAAGAGACAGCACAAGTAAAATCAAATGGAGTTTCTGAAATTAGTATTTCTAACTCTTACGTGCTAAGTCCAGTATTTTTGCAGGGCAGAAGTCAGAGAACTAAATGGCTTTCTTCTAGCAGTCTGACTTTATGGTCCGCAGAAAGATAATGTATGTTTTAAATCTGTGTGCCTTCTACCTCAATACTTAGTAAAACTAACAACAAAAGAGATAAATATTCACTCTTGAAGCTGTGACAAAAGTCTTTAGAAAGTCATATCCCTTCCCCCCCACTTTCCCTCAAAAAAGAAAAAAAGAAAAAGGTCTGGTGTTTTGTTTGTTTTTGTTTTAGTTTTCTGATTGGGCAACACATTTGGTAGAAACGAGCCATGCTTAAGGTCCTGTCAAGGTTTTTATACACACTGATTAAAAATTGTTAAAACAAAATTGGCTTCTCCCGAGCATATGCGTGCTTTGGCATGTGTTTTATAAACAATCGTTTCTTCTCAGGACAGCCCTCTTCCCACCGCACCAAACGGGATTTGATGGAGGGACAAGAAAACTGGGAATGTTGCCGGAAGTGTCACATATGTTGGCTCAGAATGACACTATAGGGAGCATACCGAATAGGCCCACATTTAATCATTGGAGGCTTTTCATAGCTTTTTACAAAAATCTTAAATACAGGTAAACATGTAAACACTGTGCTCTCAGAGAGCAAGTACACAGGCATGTCACATGGTATCCCTTCTGGGAAGACAGATTCAAGTGAAACATCACCAATCAGTTTCAGAACCAACCGCTAGAAGTACTTGCTGGCTCAGGAGCAAACACCACCTTGCACATCTCCGAGTTCTCTTGGTGGAGAGGGAATTCAGATCCTGCTATGAGGCTTTCTTTTCTTCTCCGAGAGACGTAACCTCTGCCTGTGGACAGTCTTTCATACTTGGTCTCAAATTGCCTGCATGACGACAGCAACAATAACAAAATTATACACATATTCAAGTTACCCCACACTCCTCAGAGGCAAATTATTGAGTGTAGTTGAAGCTTCTGTTTCAAAGCAATTTGAGAAAGGATGGGAGTGCCAAAGACTACCGGTTTCTGTTCCCATGAATGGGGTGAGTTTTTCTTCCCATGTCTTTCTATACCAATAGACAAACTGTAGATTCCTGGAATATAGGAGCCCTGCCACACATTTTTCTAGAATGAAGGTCCAAATTCTTCTCAGCTTTCTGGAGATGCCGTTAAGCTCTGCAGACCTTGCTATGTCTCCCACCCATCATTCCAGGAGCCCCACCTTGGGAGCGAGTCCAACTGGATTTAGGCTGAGAATGCTGACAGGCATAACATTCCTTGAGCTCTGGGCCAAGTGGAATGTGGAACCAAACCAGTTAGCTGTGAGCCTGAGTTGGTGGTCACTGCATTTCAACCACAGGAAGGTTGATTTTTTTTTTAATTCATTAATGGAGATTTATTCTAAAAATAAGTTAGTGTGGGTTAACAATAGCTTAATATTCTGATTATAATCTACTATCTTTTATCTGTAAAAATACAACCCACTCATCTTTGTACTTACATCATTTATGTATTCCTTATATGGGTCATGAAATTTCAGTAAAATAAAGAAGGTGCTCACCTCTGGCCTGCTTATTGAAGGAGATGATAGAAGATGTGGCTTGCTGTTTTAAACATACAAAGTGCCTTCATGGTTAATAACGTGTGTCAGGGTGACCTCTACAACTAACAGAGGAGTCAGCGCTAACTAGACCCAAAGCATTCTACTTCCATGTGGCAGTACTGTTACAAATGACCATTAGAAGAGTCAAAGGACACAGTATAAATGAGATGCTATAGGGTAGAAGAGGTGCTAGGAAACTTACATGAACAATCATATATTTAGTATTTGAGACACTAAGAATTCTACTGAAAGCATTTTTTTTTTTATTCAAAATCCCAAACTCTCAAGCTTGAGCCAAAACTTAAACAAGGTCAAGTTGCTATGGTACAATTCCCTAAAAATTATTAATTAATTTGGGCTCTTAACCCATGCTAAATGATTGCCAGCTGTTTTGTTTTGCACTTTCTGTCCAGGAAACAGTTGTGAAGTTAACTGACAGTAAATACACATCCACTATTTTTGCTGAAACTACGTGGCAACTCTTATGGTGAATCAAATCCCTTTGTTACCTTGATAAATTATTTCTGGACTAGAATACGATATTATCTCCAGAATCAAATGAACTGGTCCTTATAGTTTCTTGGTATCCTAGAAACTGACTTTTTTTTTTTTAAAGCTTTATCAATTATTCTCTTACTTATGTAAAGGAAATTTATGTTTCACTGTATTTTTATCATTTACCTGTAATTTCTGAAACTAAACGCTCAAAACTGGCTGTTAAGTTCCTGACCAAATGGGGACTGCCCGAGAACATTCCACGAGCGCTGCCTCTTACCTAAGTGGAGCTCCATCCTTGTCCATCTGCATGCAAACTAAGAACGGGTACTGAGAAAACTGCACCGTGGAGATAAACTCCAGGCCTGTTTCTGTTTCTGTGCTGATCTCCAGGCCAGCTTTCACAAAAGAGGAGTCTACAGTGATGCTGCCAGTTATTGCCAGAGCCACCCTAAAGATTTAGGTAAAACAAACAAACAAACAAACAAACACCATTAATATCACATTTAACTGATCTGGACCAACAGCTATAATTTCATAGGGTCTGAACTCACTAACGTGTGACCTAAATGTGGTCAGAGTTCTGCTGGTAATCAGGGCCTGGCTAGTTTCAGGGATTAGGCAGTGAAGTTCTGCCCTTCCCCTGAGCCCTCCCACAGACTTCAGTTCTAGATCTGGGGATGAAGTGTCTATCAGGTACTACTGTTTGCTATGGGCACACCAAGGGCCAGGGTGAAAACATGCCTGGAACATGATTCTCTCAGGAAGTCAGAAACACCTGAGCTAGCTTAAAACAAAGTCTAAACTCACAAAGACAGCTGACATTCATAACAATGCTCTTGGTAACTATCTCTCTGTGGGCTTCTGTGTAGCTATTTCAATTCCATTTCTTTACTGTCTCCAAAGGGTCTCTATATCTATGGTTGCCAAGATATTTGAAAAAAATATTGTGTCACAAAAAACGATTCCTAGAGTGGGGCACGTACAGGCGTGCCCTAGGAAGGACAAATATGGTGGGTGCTCCAGTAATCGCTTTGAGAACTGAGTAGGCAGATTGGGTTGACTGGGGAACATGGCTTGGATGATGATGAAGAAGCAGAAGGCTTACCTCTAGGATCACTCTAATTTAATTGTAGACTTTAAATGCAATTGTGGAAATTACTCCACAATTAAATCTGAGTTTATGCTCCTGCTATTTTGATAGAAGGATACTATCAAGGTTTGCTGTGCAAATTAAAGTCCCTGCTGCTGTTGTTGTCAGTGTAAAAGTAGGTCAGAGGTGGTATCATTTAAATCCCTGAATCCCTTATCATACCTTCTAATATCTTACACTCAACAGAGGCTTAAGAGATATTTTTTAAATGAACAAATGAAAAATTGAAAATAGATTGGCTACAATGTGGATACTGGTAAATTCTTAGGGATACTGTGTCCTTTTTAAAAATCCAGATAATTTTTGGTGTTGCTGTTGTTGATTTGTTTCTGCAAAGAATTCAATTCAGTCAAATTTGGGGAAACTTCTATCTAGGAAATACTTCAGAAAAAGGAGAAAGAAGACCAATTCACTGGGAAGCCCTAAATCATACCGCTGATCCCTCTGATGGCCCGTTCTATTTCTCATTCTTCGGTTCCTTTTAGTAACACTGTGGGTCACCTTTCACATTAAATGTGCTGCCTTTTGATTTTTCTCAATTCCTTTAGCCATAGTTTAACATAAATAACAAATTTAATTTTATCACTCCTATCTCACTTCTGCCCCACCATATTCATAAATATCAAAAAGGGGGGCGCCGGGGTGGCTCAGTAGGTTAAGTGTTCGACTCTAGGTTTCAGCTTACACCACGATCTTGCAGTTTCATGAGTTCAAGCCCTGCACTGGGCTCTGTGTTGGCAGCCTGGAGCCTGCTTGGGATTCTCTGTCTCCCTCTCTCTCTGCCTCTCCCCCCACTTGTGCTGTCTCTGTCTCTCTCAAAATAAATAAACTTAAAAATATAAATAAATATCAAAAAAGGTAAAAATCAATTGCACTTCCATATTCTTTACTTTGATTTTACAACAAACAGAATCATTCTTTTGATTATCACACTGGTTCAGTTTATCACCTTTTACTCAAAATACAATACTTTCATTTGATTTGACACCTATATTAGAAAAACAAAAGGAGCTGAGGACATTTTGTTTAGAAAAATGAACGCTAATGAAAAACTTAAGGACTTCTACCATTTAAGACATAGATTCTGCACACAAGTGATCATCTTTTTAATTTTTCTCGACTGAAGACAGCAAAGGAGGGAACATTTAAAATCCCAACAAGAGGGATAAACTAAAATGTTTGCTTCAAGACAGTATTTCTTGAGAGCATTGTCAACTACTAACGTGGAATACTAAGAGAAAATGAACTTCCCATCCATGGGGCATGCTGTATGTGGACGTCTTTAAAAGTGTGACCATTGTTGGCTGAGTTGATTAGATAACTAACCGGCTCATAAGAAGCTATGGAAAGAATGAGTTTCCATGGTTTCTTCCTGCTCTATGGTTCAGTCATTACAAATAGAAAATACAGATTTTTGAAAAAATCAGAGAACTAAACAATTCCAAAGGCATATCTCTGCAGTTCATTGCATAGAATATTATACATATGCTTACCGAGTTTTCACTCGGGTTTTAGACTCACGATACCACAGGCTAAACTCCATTGCACCTGAAATGTCAATAGCTAAGCCACCCTGGACATCCATATTGGCCTTTAGTCCAGATTGCAACTGAAGCTCCTAGAAGCAAAAATATATCATCATCATCATCATCATCATCGTCATCATCGTAAGCAAATTTAGTCTACCCTTTTCCAAAGGCATGTTCAACCTCCTGCTATACATAATACCATTTGGGCTATGCTAATGTTGGAGTCTTTCTCTAGGTTTGGAAACACATTATTCTAATCTTTATTACTAGAAGTAGACTGTTGATTTGCTCAAGTATTTAGTCTATTAAAATACTAGAGATGTGCAGTGCCAATTGAGATGGGTGATGTTTTTCAATCATTGCCTCACTTTGGGAGAGGCAAAGGTTCTCAAAGTGTGCTCCCCTTAGGAACAACATCTGGGAACTTGTTAGAAATGCAAGTGCCATACCTACTGAATTAGAAACTCTGAGGATGGGACCAAGCAATGTGGGTTTTAATAAGCTCTCGTGATTCTGATGCACATAAATTTGAGAACTACCAGAATGGGGAAAATGAAAGCATCGTCACCCGAAATCCAGCTGTGGCTTTGGGGTGGGGGTAAGAAGTTGGGCTGGATGATCTCTTGTGGTCCTTCAGCACCTCTCTAGCTATGTGCTGTGTCAAATATAGGCAGCTGCAGCGTCATGCTGGCAAAGTAAGTGCAGAATAAAAACTGCTGGTGCAATATGCAAGTTCCAGGAATTGCCTAGATAAAGCTGGGAAAGGAAGGCAAGGCAATCTAACTAAGCCTTAACACCTTGTTGTTTGACATTTGAAATGACATCAAATTAACAAACAAGTCCAACATGAACTTAAGAGCATATTCCAGAGGGACACTTCTCATTTACAAACGTAGTCCATCCTAAGTAATTTTGCAGTTGTCTGAAGCCCACTGTTTTGTGTTGTTTGTCAACATTTAAGTCTTGCATTTTCTGAGTACATTAATGAGGTGATGTTGGCTTAAAAGTTCTTCAGCTGGATTGCAATCAGACTGACTGGAGACAGTGTTAGAAATGATAATGGCTCTGGAAAAAAAGGCTCCATATCCTTAATTTTGATATCCCTCCAAAGATCTTAGATTCACGGTAACTGCCAGCATGACTAACTTCCTTATGTAACTGCCCTACTCAGACCAAAGAAGCCATGCTTTCACCAACTATAAATGCTGTGATTTCGCTTTCTAGAAAGGATCATATTGATCTCTTTGAATTCTTCCCCCTTTCCGAAAAACATGGCAAGAAATCTCAGTCAAAGGCCTTCATTTACAACCTGGTATATCAAAAAAGTCTCACTGTGGCATGAAGCTACTTTCAGTCTAAAACACACTTGGATGAAAGCATGAGATTCTTGACACAGAGCTCAGGACACATTAGGAGAACCCTAAGAATACTTAACAGCTACATTTAGTCTAGAATAAAATGTGGTTGTAGTATGATACGAGGTTGTCTCATATATCATAACTAATATGAAGGAACACAAATTATCCTAGGAAAGCCAGAAAATTATGCCCAAATTTTAACCTATGCCTATGAACTACAGAATATCAGATATCAGGGTTCTGCAGTTGCACAGTGGTTGTGATTATTCCCAAATGAATCCTACTGTGTGCCCTGTCTTAAAAGTATTTCCTTGGATCTTTTGATCTCTTCCCAATTTGAAAGCTATAATCTTGTTAGTCCACTCAATCAAAAAAAGGTCTTTGATGTGGACTTTAGCTTTCCCACTGGCCATACATTAAGTAGATATCAAAGCACACCAAGTGCCATGGAAAAGAACATTTCACAGCTTTTAGACAATGTGCCTTTTATGGGGAGAGAGCATTTCCATTGTGGTCTGGGTTTTAGGGAGTACCTTGGCTTTCTTGGAAGATTCAATTTCTCTCATGCAAAGGGATCATGGAAGAACTCTTATTTGTAGTCACAGAGAAATTTTCCTGAGCCCCCGTGGAAGGACAGAGCACTAACCCCTGTAGAAGAGCAAACCACTCTCTCTTTGGGAAAGGGACTGAACCACATAGTGCAGTGGTTCTAATTTTTGAGGGTATAAAATAAGAGAAACTAACAGTTTTGAACACCTACTGTGTCCCCAAGGGTCTACATTTGGTATCTCACTTAATTCCCATACTGATCTTCCATGGTAGGCATTATATCTTGAAGATTAAAAAGGAGGTTCAGGCTTGGTGGCACATGTGGAGACAGAATAAAACCCAGATTGTCTCTAGGGCGGATACTTTTCTATTGCCACACATGGTTATCACAAAATCATCTCTCTTTTGTCTCCTGGTGTGCAAGAAAGCATCTTCTGAGAAATATTGTGATAAAAGATCATAGGTTTATGTCCTTATTTGACCCAGGATGCATATTTATTTAAATTATTGTCTATGAACTATAGGAACAAGATACTAAAGCTTTGCATTTGTAGCTAGTGTGACTCCTTTGATCTTGCACCTTTGGCCCCAAAGGTGTTTCTTACAGTTCAAACACTAATATTTTGACAACATGTACCATTGCATCCATTCAGGAAAATATGGTCTTTGCTGGCTAAAGAGGATCTCTCTATTAAGCTGAGTTTATCAGACAGCCTTCTCTGAAGAGTAATCCAATTAGACGAAAAGAGAGAGCAAGAGTAAGCACAGAGTAATTCCATCTGCCCTGGTGGCTGTGACAGGCTATCCACTGCCAAAATTTCCTTCAATGTCAGCACTTGACCTAGAGTGGTATGTGCCTCTGAAGCTGGGATGGCATTACTGGAGTGCTCTGCAGAGCCAGGGAGCCTCAAAGAGCCTATTTGTATGGTTACCCTTGATCTGCCAAATACTCCAATATGAAATTCAGACATTGGGTTACGTTTAATAGCTACAGGATGATCTTGCCTTAGAATACGCCTTAGGTGCCCTCTCTTAATGAACCGAAGAACTTTAAAAGATAATCTAGACCAGGAGTTGGCAAACTATGGCCTGTAGGCAAATCTGGCCCACTTGTTTTTGTAAATAAAATTTTGTTGGAGCACATTCACTTGTTAAAATATTGCTGATGGCTGTTTCCACTCTAGTGGCAGAGTTGAGTAGTTGCAACAGAGACCATATGTCCCACAAAGCCTAAAATATTTGCTTTCTGCCTCTTACATAAACTGTCTGCTGAGCCTGATCTAGATTACTGTTTTTATCAGGTTTCACACCCTAATTCTGACCATCAGACTGTTGAAAGGTAGTTGAATACACACAGATGGTGTTGAACCGTAATTATTCCTGTCTTAAAATGTGGACCACTTACTCAGCACTCTTACGCCTTCTTCATAGATTCATTAAGAATTCATCTCACCAGAATCAATACTACAATGGGTATGCGCAATGTAAAATTGTGATATAATTTGAGACTTGTTTTTTCATATGTGACCTTGAGGATTAAGGGATATGACAGATCCTGTTCATTGTCCTTCTCTTCATTTGTTCGGAGTGACAATGCACCCATTGAAAAACTACATTTACCAGTTTTCCTCGAAGCTAGAGATAGCCATATGACACAGTTTTGATTAACAACAAAAAGAGCCTTGGTTATTTTCTCCATTAATTTCTTTGCTTCTGTCAGCACCAGTATTGTCTTTTTTTTCTTTCAGTTTTATTGAGATATATGTGGCATTATTATACTCATATTATATTGACTATATCCTCTTTTGCCTCAACAGTGAGATGTCCTCATGGGCTAATGAAGTTGAGAGAAAACCCTGCTTACCTGTAACAAAGGGGAAAAGGATGAAGGGCGGGCAGCAATACCACTAGGGTGGGTGCTTAGAATGTGAATTCCTAGATAGGTGCAACTTTGTCTTGTGTTCTTCAAGCATTGAGCACATTTAAAATGTGCCTAGAATACGCTAGGGATTCAATAAATATTTGCAGAATGAATGGATTACCTGGGAATGATCTATCAACAGAATAAGTCCCTTCACCACACTGATAGGGTCACCAGATGCCGACAACATTTTGGACATCAAATCACTGTATCCATTGAAAAAAGTGACAGGTCTGAGCTGAACATCAAAGAGGATGGCTGACATGCCTGCGTAGGAGTCGAGGTTCTCCTCCCCCTCGTCGGGAGTGGCCGCAATCAAGGCCTCCAGGCCTTGGGCTTCGATGACTACCTAGGGGAAATGCAGATCACATTCATGACGTAAGTTCCTTGCCTATTCCGTAAGTGATGGTGAGGCTCCTGGGCTATTGCTAGAACTTTCCAAAACCTGAGGTATCTGCAGCAGCTAGGCAAACAAAAACAAAACAAAACAAACAAAACAAACCACACCTCTGTGCCTGAACATAAGGTGAATTCATTTTCTTCCTTTAGTTCCCACACCCATTGATCCATTTTGTAGAGGCAAAAACTAAAAACAAAAAATTCAAATGGCAGAGGCAGAACTCAAAGCCCTTCTGCGTGACTGCCAATGCCATGAACTTTCCTTTTTGTGGTGTCATCCTTGAGACTCTTAATCCCTCCAGGACTGTCATACATAATGGATCAGCTGTCTGGCAGAGCCCCAAGAAGGAGATGGAGAAATGCTGGGACAATTGCCTTGAGGCTATTGCTACAAGAGGATATGGAACACTCCAAGGCATGACTCACACCCTTCCTATCAAACTTTTCTCTCTAGCTGAAAGAAAAGATGATGGAGGCTCACATCAAGATCTCCACCATGCATAGGAATCTTACATATTCTCCGTCCTCTATACCAGCCCCATACCCAGTGGGTGCTTGGCATTTCAGAATGCATATCAGAAAACAGATGGCAATTCCTCAGGATAGAAGGACATTCCTCAGGATAGAGGTATTCTGACTAGCGTCCTACCAAAGGGTGTATAATATAATATTGATAAGAACTCAAGTTTGTGTAGGACTGGACCATTTTTAAAACTTAAATGAGCTTATTTAGAAGGCTATAATTTGATATGCATAAAAGAAGTATATTTCATAATTAGGAAGACTTTATAGATTATAACCAAATTTTGTGTAAGACTAAAGAGATGGAATTCAGTCAGTCATCACATGCCTACACTTTATTCTTTTCTCTCCTAATGGTACTGAAAAATATAGATGGGCTCTTTAGAGAGTCAAAGTTCTTATGCGGAATCAATCTGTTCTTAGACACAACCAGAGAAGGGAAGAGAAGGGAGGCGCCTGGGTGGCTCAGGTCATGATCTCACAGCTAGTGAGTCCAAGCCCCACGTCGGGCTTTGTGCTGACAGCTCAGAGCCTGCGGCCTGCTTCAGTTTCTGTCTCCCTCTCTCTCTCTCTCTCTCTCTGCCCCTCCCCCACTTGTGCTCTGTGTCTCTCTCTCTCTCCCAAAAATAAATAAACATTAAAAAAAATTAAGAAACAACCAGAGAAGGAAAATATATTCCAGAGTTAGATAAGTGGAGCTTTAACGAATATATCTATGAATAAAAATAAAATATTTTTTAAACATATCTGAAAAATATTAGCACAGTTTCAACTTTGTGAATATGTTTGCCTTTGAAATGACGAATGGATGTTTAACAAGTCTAGTAAATCAAATTACTTAGGTTTCATGCTTGAAACTTTCTCTGGCATTATAAACCATATAGCTTCCTGCAAATGATGGAATTGTGAGCAACTTAAAACAGAAGCCACCATTAACTTATGCATTTTGTAGTGTTACCATCAGTATGTTTTTTTATTTTACTTCAGACTAATTTCTTATATATTTATGAAGCAAAATTAATGGAAAATGAGTTACCTGGCTACTGTGAAGATGAGCCTTCCCAATGTACTGAAAGATGTTCAGGTTACTTCTCCTTAGAATGCCAGAACCAGAGTAAAGAATGTCAAGGCTGTAAGTAGATGCTGAATGGGGAGTACCTAATGACAAAACAAAACAAAACAACTCTTGTAGTTTAGTAACAGTTCCCACGATACCAACTTGCGGAAGGGCAGAGAGGGAGAACCCCTTTCTGGGTTACGTACGTTCTATGTAGCCAGTATAGGCAGAAGAGGATCCACTCTTGGAGAAGCGGTCATAATTATGAGCAACCATTTCCTTCAGAACTCTACGGACCATTTTGCTGCAACACGTAAAAGGAAAAAGCACATTCATTGTAATGGCTGCTTCCCAAGTCAGATTTGGAAAAAAAACCAAATCCTCAGTGGAAAAAAGAGGGGCCAAATTTTCCCCATGCTGCTCCAAGACTGGGGAGGTGCCAGCTGGAGGGCCAGCATCAGGGTTAGGGCTTTCCCCTTCATTCTTCAGATATTTGAAATTTGGTTTGGTATCAAAATGACAGCAAGACAAGGATGCCCAGCTATGAATGGCTTAAACTAACTGATGGACACACCTCAGGAGTGGAAAACACATATTCCATGAATCATTATGGTTGTATTATTAAATAGTATATACTTTCAAGGAAAGCTGTACCAGACAGGGGATGGTGGAGCAGTTGCCCAATATTTCTTTAAATATTTTCTTACACTCTCTAATGATACCAGTGGCTGATGACCTATCACAGTTAATTTCCAGGAATTTTTTCTATTTCTGTAGTTTTCAATTAAAGAGACATCTCAGTAAAACCCATATATAAATGATTATCTCCTCTAAAGCAAGTCTTAAACCTTGCCCTATGCCTCTATCTTGTCTACTATCTAAGGACTGTTGAGATCTTTCCAATCTTGACTACTTAACACTAATCATATCAGGAATAATAAAATTATGACACCGCCACAAAAAATATCAAAATAATCCACTCAAGAAATTAGGATCTGGACCTGAGGTAGAAACTTATTGAAAGGTGGGAATGGTGACCCTATAGGTGCCCCCCACCACCCAATATCACTAGGTGATAAGATTTAGCCTGGAGAAGGGCTGAGGACACCATGATATCTGTTTTGTAATATTCAAAGGGCCTGCAGGTGGATGAAATGATTAGACCTGCTCTGCTTTGCTCCAAGGATTGGGGCAAATAGGGCCAATGGGAAGCTTTCAGTTACACAAAGAAGTCCTAGTGACACTGTGAATAATGACACAAGTTCCCTCAGGGGAGGTGAGCCCCCTGCCACTGGCCAGGTGCAAGCAAAGACTGGATGCCCCTGCTAGGAGACTAGACCCACACACTGGAGAGATGCCAAGCAAAGTGGCCTGTGATGTCCTTTCCAACTCGAACCATTCCGGTCGTGAGAATCTGAACCTCAGTGTTTCCAATGGTCTCCTCGCCTTTCCCTGCTGCTCTCTACCCCACAGCCTCCTCTTTTACCATCCCCTGCATCACTAGGTTCACAAGACAAGGATAGAAAACCCACTCAGGATCTCCTTCTCAGAGTCTCATAAAAATAAACAAAGAAATAGAAGTCAAATCCATTCTACTAGGAACACATGGTTGTAGACAGACTTTGCTTCTTCCTCCCTCACTCATCTGCTCCTTCTTCTTCCTTATCTGTCCCTGCTCTTTTCTCCTGTCTACTCACTCCTCTCACACCTTTTTTCTTTTACTGCCTTATTTTTTTTTCCTTTCTCTTTATCCATTTTCCAACACCCACTCCCCCCCATATCTGTTTTCCTTTTCAACTTAAAATACTCAAATTTGATCTTTCCTGGGGATACTGCTGTGCAAATAACTCAGGGGAAATGGAAATTTCTTTTTCAGCCCTCTCATTTCAGTAAGGAAGTGCAGAGAGCCCTGGAGAACTCCCACTTTGAAGAGAGACATCAGTGAATGAAGAGGAAGAGACCCAGGAACTGGAAGGAAGATGAATCCAGTAAGAGTTACTGAGCCTGATGAAGTCTGCTGATCCCACTCTTCATACCTTGAAGAGTCCCCAAACATGAGCCATGCTTAAGGTATTTAACTTAAATGGCAAATTCATTTGATCTGTGATAGATGAGGTTTCAATGTTAGGTCACTAACGTTTGGAAAGTTAACATGGAAAACCATTTGGTGAGAATTTACATCGCTTTGTTATGCTGTTTATAAAAACAATCCTATTAAAAATATAGTTGGGTTGTAAAACATTATAAACATTTGGCAATATATATTTACAGACTGAACAGGAGACCCAGAGTAACAATCATACACCGGGTTTCAAATCATAGTGCCAGAGTGAAGTTGTTTTATCTGGCCCGCTATATAGTTCTCATGGGAAATTTGGCAAACTTTGGTTTTATGCAACATAAACTAGCATAATGACCACACCATTATTATCAGCCACGTGTGTACCACACCAATATACAAATAAGCTTGAACAAATAAAATAAGCTTGCTTAAATAAACGGAGAGACAGGTGAACTCTATCATACCTTGCAGGCATTTCAAAACGTAGGATGTCTTGAACAAGAGTGAGCATGTATTTATTCATTTCTTTGGGAAGCTCCCCAATAGAGAGAAGAATGTTTTTTACTTCCATGTAGGATGGATTGTTATTTAAAATGATAGCAGCTGCAGTAGTGCGCACAGTCTTTTCATGAACTTTACGATTCTGGTGGTATATCCTGTTCAAAGTCTTCTTGACCTGTTCAAAGATGTTCAAACTTAGTGCACATCTAGATTTTTTTAAATTGATAATGTAGCAGGAACAGTTAGTGCTCTTAAAACATATGTGTGTTCTTACATTTCCCAAGGTTCTTTGCAGTCAGGTTGGGGCCGTAATTGTAGCTAATGGACTATGAAGAGAACGGCCATGGGAAACTTCTAGACTGAGACAGTTAAGAGCTGCTGTGCCTTCTCCCTGTTTTTATTGCTACTTTAGTAGGCTTAGAGCCACATTTTCCTTACCTACACTAGGCATAGCATGAATGAGAAATAAACTTTTGATAAGCTGAGATTTTGTAGCTCGTTTATTATTGCAGCTTATCATGGTGTTACCCAACTAATATTGACTTTTAAAGACTACTGTCACATAGCAATAGATCTCTGGGGAGCAATGGCTATATTAGCTGATATTTCCTTACAATGGAGTCTCTCAGGATCTTCCCTTTATCCTTTTTTAAAATTAATAAAACTTTCATTTTTTAGAGCAATTTTCGGTTTACAGCAAAACTGAGCTGAGAGTTCCTATATACCCCTTGCTTCCAGGCTCCTCCCTGCCCAGCACATACAACCTCACCTCTATC